AAAAATAAATTGACGTGCATATGTATGCTATCATGTATGATGTATGTGTGAAGTTTGATTGTGATTGGTCCAGGCATTTCTAAGATAAAGGTTCGGACGCACGCACAGACGCACGCACGGACGGACACACGGAGGTCAAAACATAAGTCCCCGTTTTCGGACTGCGTCCGAAATCTCCTATGTTTATGTTGACAGCTTTTCCATTCAACCAATCAAGCTGGTCGCAATACGATATTACTAGCACTGTAGCTAGGCATTGGTGGAATGTTATATAGCAAGTTGTACATTGAAAACATTCTAGGATAAGTCAGGTAGTTTTAATAGCTACTTCAGTTTAATTTTTTTTTTAATATTTCCAAAAATTAATACACAGTCATGTAAACTATTAGTGTATGATATTAAATTGTCAGGATATTGAGAGAAAGATCATAATAATAAAATATAATATTGTTTATTGCATCTTTAGAAGTACATGTACAAGTTTCTATCAGTATGCAGCAATAACATTTTATGAAAAATTTGTACATAATTTTGAAACGAAAAAAAATGAAAATTGTGAATATATCAATGCTACTGAGAACAACTGTATTTTTCGTATGATGGCCCACATTTTGTGTATGTATCAAAACATTACCAACTTGTTTACAGTGCAGCCAGGCAGTGAACAGATAAGAGACAGATTGTGCTGTAAATAGTCCAATCCCAAACTACACATATGTACTGATATGTACAGACTGTGACCTCACATACAGGTGATACAAAGCCTACATAAAGTGTGGAAACGTATATTGAATTTACTGTTTGACCAATATTCAATTTACATGACCTACAGTGAAACAGTATTGAACTCAGCTGCACCTTCAGAAATAATTTCCACATTTGGGTTATTAAAAACAACTGTACGATTCATAAATATTGAATATTAATACAATTATGTGTCAATTTTCACAAAAATGATTGAGATGGATAATTATTGTTGCCGTGGTAACAAACTGGGTGTTTATCAGAATGTTTCATTACGTGTAGCCGATACCCTATGCCAGCAAGTGGCTCAGAGAAACATTTTGCATATATTTTGTATTATTCTATGAATTTTTTTTTAATTTTTGATTGGATAGACATAATTTTTTTTAGACTACAGATCTTGAATAAATTGTTTGAAAAAATCTGAAACAAATTATGAAGATTTGGTGAAAGTGATTTGAGCAGTAGTAAAATTTCGTTGAATAAATAAAAAAATATTATCTCATCAGACACCTGATTTTAAGTTGATTATTATATTAATATATTTACTGTATCATTAACAATTTTTCTGTGTATGCTGCAAAGCAAAACTTCACAAAAAACAAGCCATGCATGGCACAGTCCCTGTTGGTTATCAAAGTTATATAGTTTTGCTTATAGCAATATAGTACAAGTACTTGTTCATATTGAGAAATATTGCTCTGAAACAGCATTAATTAAAAACAAAATGGCCACAAGTCGGCTAATTTGAATCAAATCGTCAAATCTTTATATCTACGACATGATGTATAATGAATATATAAAACATAATTCAAAGCATTCATGTGAATGTGATCTGAAAAACAAAATGATGTATGTACCAAGTTTGAACGAATTCCATCCATACACGACCAAGATCCAGTTCTGGAATGCCAGAAATGCATTCGGCCATTTTGAATTGGATCGTCAAACCAATATATCTGTATCATGTATAATGAATATTTAAAATTTGAACATAAGCAGTCAAAGCATGTCAAAGATATGCCACCAGTTGGTCATTTTGAATTCTATCTCAAAAGCAAAATGACGTGCATCAAGGTCCCATAATATATATATATATATATATATATATATATATATATTGGTATAATATATATACCAAGTTTGAACAAAATCCATCTGTAAACAGCCAAGAAATGCTTGATTTTGATGATTTTTCAGTACACAAATGACCGCCATTCAGCAATCTTGAATCAGATCGTTAAACAAATTCATGTGCATATGTATAATATTATGTATAATGTATGTCTGAAGTTTGAATGTAATTGGTCCAGGCATGTCTAAGATATAGGTGCAGATGTATCCGAACAGGGACCAAAAATCATAGCAATGGGAATTTGGGGAAAATTAGTCATTATTACCAAATTTGCAATATTATCACTAAAAGCAGTTTTTATGTAAATTGATTGTGATTCACAGGATGAAGTTCAGGATGGCAGAAATAAATTCAAATTTCAAAAGCAATCCATTAGCATTTGTAAACATGCAATTTTTGTTCTATTCATGGGTGGGGGGAATATATTAATTAATTTTGGAAGAAATACACCCCCTCCTGAAAATTTGCGGGGCAATACAAATATGTTTCCAATTTTTTCTTCTCCATTTCAAATCTCTCAACTAATTAATTATTGAACTAATCAAATTACCACTTTCGTTTTTTAGATACAGGGAAATAAGACTACAGTCACTGTATACACAAGTTTTTTGTTTCAAAAAAAAAAAAATTTACTGTGTTATTAATATTTACCTGGAGGAAAAACCAAATAACAGCAAGGTATCAAATAACTATTTTATATGTCAGCATCTATATTTTATATTCATAAATTTTATTATTATACATAATTAAATTCATTATTCAATGTTCATTTAATCTCCATAGAAACAACTATGTCATGTATTTCCCACAAATATCAAGATAAATATTGGGTAGAATGAAAATCAGACATCTGAAACTTACCCAATTTTTTTAAAACAATACAGATATATCCAAAAAAAAATGTTTTCACACATTGCGTACTGAAAGCCTCCATGAATAGTCGAAATGATTAGGAAAATAAAGCGCCAGCAGATGATGTATTAATAAATAAACATACTACTCACTGAATAAACCAAGAAAGACACCAAAGATAAAATTTATAATTTATGAGCAAGACATGTCGCTACTGAGTAACACAGCATGACCGGATTGCGCAACCGTGACCATTTGCTGCTACGCAATGCAGTTATGTTAGTTTTTATTTGAAACTTCGTTTAGAATATATTTTCGTTACCCCAAAACGTAC